AGAGGCTCAGGGATGGGATCCTTGACGCCCACCTTCCTCAGCGCTCCACCCAGAGCTGAGAACATTTCTAGATGTTTTTAGTCAGAGACACCGGATGGGCCTGCCCCCACCCCCCGCCCAATTTCACATCCACCATCACAAGCCACACCCGGCACCACAGGCAGAGTTCAGACCCCACCACCTCAGGGCAGTGGGTCCTGCCTCTTTTGACGAATCAGGAAACTGAGGCTGGGGGTGGGCAAAGCGGTGGCTCAGAACCAGCCGGCAGGTGGGGTGGGGCCGGGGCACGGACAAGAACTCGACCCCACCCTGCCCGGCCAGCCCCTCGGCCTCCAATCAGCATCTGGAGACGGCAAAGAACCAGACCCACGAGGGAGCAGCGGGCGCCCGCCTTATAAGGCAGCCTCTCGGGGAGACTTGGCTGGTGCCGGCCGCGGAGCCAGAGGTGGGTGGTTCCCGGAGGGGAGCCAGAGGCAGCAGCTCACCCCGCAGACACGGTCCGGTCCTGCAGCCCAGCCCCACCCAGCACCACCCAGGCAGCTGCCGGGCGAGCGGCGACCTGGGGGAGGAGGCAAGGCCCGGCCCTCCCAGAACCTGAGAGAGAAGCAGGGGTGACCAGAGCACGACGAAGAGGGCCAGGGGCCAGCAGCCTCGCGAACAGAGAACCCCGTGTGCCGGAGTGGGGGCACGTCAGACCTGGGGGCTCCTGGTCAACCAGGAAAGTGTGTGCTTGGTCCCTGCAAGGTCCCATGGGGTCCCCAGAGTCCCTGTGTCTGCCTGCAGGGGGCCACGCAAACCCATCCCACTCCCCCTACCTAGTTTTATTGAGCACCTACTAAGTCTATGTCACTCAGGGAAAAAAACAAAACTGACAACAGCCTTACTCTCAAATAACCTACGATCTATTGGGGGGCACGGAGGGAATTCTAAAAAATACAGAGTAAACACTAAGAGTAGATATCTTTGGATTATAGGTGAACTTTAGAGTCTAACTTCTACATTTTCTGAATTTTAAAGAAAAGGTACACTGGAAAACTACTTTTACATTAAAAATTCTAGCAGAGGAGGGGCGCCTGGGTGGCTCAGCCGGTTGCGCGTCTGACTTTGGCTCAGGTCGTGATCTTGCAGTTTGTGGGTTCGAGCCCCGTGTCAGATTCTGTGCTGACAGCTCAGAGCCTGGAGCCTGTTTCAGATTCCATGTCTCCCTCTCTCTCTGCTCCTCCTCTGCTCACACTGTCTCTTTCTCAAAAATAAACATTAAAAAAATCATAAAAATTTAAAAAATTTGTTAAAATCTTTTAAAAACTCCAGCAGAGGAAAAAAGGTGCGTGCACCACAAATAATTCACATTCCAAGCCAAACATAGGACATTATACACACACACAAAAATGCCAAAAGGCACGGGAGTCCAAGGAAATGAGGCCACTTGCAGCTAGTGGGAGGGCTTCACGGAAGAGGTGGCATTTGAGCTGGACTTTGAAGGATGCGTAGGAATTCAAAAAGCAGCGATGTGGTGAGGAAGAGGGTCAGGGGTCAGGAGTCAGGAGGTCAGGGCGGGAGACGAGGAAAGGTGGCCTGGGGAGGCCACGAAAGGGCCACGCAGGAGGAGTTGGGAGCAGGGAGGTTTGAGCCGCACAAGAGACTGGACGGAACGGAGAGTGGCCCAGGGAAGGCTCGGGGCTGGCACGGACTTCATCAGCACTGCGCTTTAGGGCGGCCACTGCGGGACCAACTCGGCCACGGTCCCAGGAGACCCTGACCTGGGCCGGGAGCCACAGCCCAGAGGGTTTCCGCAGGCAGAGGGTTCGGAGTCCCATCAGAGGGCACAGAGCTCCCTCCCTCCCCGATCCTCTGCGCCCGCGGTGCCAGCTGGCCTCGGGTGCAGGAGACAGGGTGCCCACAAAGGGCGGTCGGGGCGGGGCCTGCCGGGTGGGGAGGTCTGGGCGGGGGCCGAAGGGGCTGGGAGCCAGCTCTGCGGGGAAGACCAACGGGAAGCGCGGCTGTGGGACACGGGTCTGCGCCTGGATGGACCCGATGCGCTGTGCCCGGGGGAGGACGGGCAGACGCCGCCTCAGGGCAGGGGACCCCCGGAAGCCGGGCCACGGATTCCAGGAACACACCTCCACGGGGAAGCCCCTGCTGGCCACCCGGATGTGCCCGGGACTTAAAGACTGGGAGTCCGAGGCAGAGCTGTCAGCGCCACACTCCCCGGCCCACAGCTGGGTGAGCCCTGCTTCCTCCCCCTCCTCCTCGCCCAGCTGGCCTGCGTCACTCCCTCCCAGTCACTCCCTCCCAGGCTCGAGGACCAGGCCACCCCAGGCCACCCCGCAGTGACTTCTGCTAAGTGCACAGAACGGTCCTGGACAGAGCTGTCCAAGCCCCGCCCCCAGCATCCTGCATCCCCGTGCGGCCGCTGGTCTCGCTGCGTCTGTCTGTCTGGCCCTAAAGGTTCTCACCCTGTGAGCACTGGTCCCAGAGCCCCTTCCCACCCGGCCAAGGAGACGCAGGTGGATGGGGCCCCGGGGGACAGGCACACACGCACCCCCAGCTAGTGCTCCAGGACGGGGGGACAGCCACTGGCCTACGAGCCTCGTCACAGAGCTACACCCACTGGCTGCTCTCTGAGGACCAGGGTCTGGGCTGCAGACGACGTGGCTTTCACGCCAGGCCTGGACTTTTTTTTTTTTTTTTTTTTGAGTCTATTTATTTATTTTTGCGATACAGAGAGAGTGGCTGAGAACAGGAAGAGGGGCAGAGAGTGAGAGGAAGAGAGAGAGAATCCCAAGCAGGCTCCACGCTGCTGAACCCTATGCAGGGTTTGAACTCACAAACCACAAGGTCACGACTTGAGCCGCAATCAAGAGTCGGACGCTCAACCGACTGAGCCCCCAAGGCGCCCCGGGTTTAGACATTTAAACTCTTTTCCGTGGAGAAAGCATGCCGCTCCCCGAGTTCCAGGCCCCCAGGCACCTCTGAACCGCTGCCTCGGTTCCCCTTCTTTGCCTGGTTCAGTCCTACTTTCTCCAAAGCTCGGCTCAAGAGGCTTGGGCCCTGGGAAGACCCCCACAGGACCCTCAACTGTTCCAGAGGCAAAGCCAGCCCAGGCCCCGGCTTCCAGCACAGCCTCCGGGTGGGGCGGGACCACCTGAGCAGACACCTCCTGCCCCGGCCCCCCAGAGCTGCCGTCAAGGTCCGCACGGGCCTGGTGGTGACCATGTCCCCAGGCACATCCTGCTTGACCCAGTTGGGCGTGAACACCTCACCCACCAGAGGCCGAGGCCCCGGACAGGCCCCGGAGCGACCGAAGACCAATCCCCGCACAACTGGGATATCTTCCTTCTGACACGCCTGCACCACAGTCCACAGTGTCTGAGTGTGTGGGCATGGCTCCGCAGGGTCAGGTTTCGGAGAGGCGAGTGCACTGCAGCAAGTTCAGGGCCCTCACTTAAAAAGTAAGGGAGGGGCGCCTGGGGGGCTCAGTTGGTTGAGCGTCCGACTTTGGCTCAGGTCATGATCACACAGTTCGTGGGTTCGAGCCCCACGTCAGGCTCTGTGCTGACAGCTCAGAGCCCAGGGCTGCTTCAGATTCTGTGTCTCCCTCTCTCTCTGATCCTCCCTGTTCATGCTCTCTCTCTCTCTCTCTCTCTCTCTCAGAAACGAATTAAAAAAAAAAAGGAAACCCCACTCCTGACACACCACAGATGGGCTGTGAGGGTGCGATGCCCAGTGAGGGCAGCCAGACACAAAAGGACCAACACTGTCTGATTCCCCTTACACAAGGGAGCCGGGGGAGTCAAGTTCATAAAGACGGATTGTGCCGGGGGCTGTGGGAGGGGCAAGGGGAGGCAGTGTTCAGCGGGGACACGGTTTCGGTCTGGGAAGCTGAGAAGGTTCTGGTGACGGATGACGGAGTTGGGCTGCACAACGGTGTGATTGTTCCCGATGCCACCGAGCTGCACGCCTCATGATGCTTCAAACGGTCAATTAACGTTACGTGTATTTTACCAAAATTAGAGATTATTATGATTTGAAAGGTAAACCACAATTCCAGAACGTTCTGTTTATCTAACCCGAAGAACACTGGCGGAGTCCAGTTCCTGCACTTGGAAATGGACCCAGCTCTCACGGGGCTTACAGCGCAGCTGGCCCCTCACCCCATGGGGCCAAGATCCCAGTATCCCAGGACCAGATGTTCCCAAGCCGGCCCCGGTGAGCTCCCCACGTGAACACAGCTCTGGGTTTGGGCCCCCTGAGGACGGTACCCAGCCCCCAGCTTCCTCCCTCACCAGCAGAGCACCCCAAATGGAGCTGTGTGCGGTTATCGTGGGGCTCCGGGCCTAAGGTCCCCTCCCTAGCGGCCCTGAGAATCTGGGCACACAAACGGGACAGTCTGGTTTCCCTTGCTCTGGCCACGGCCCTCCCTCCTTGAGGAACCGCGGGAGGAAGACCCCCCCAGTACAGAACCTCAGGAGGGCACCAACCCCTCCTCCTACCTGACGCCTCTCCCTCCGGCGGGTACTTGCTGAGGCAGCCAGCAGATCTGAGCAAGAGCCTGCCTGCCCACGGCCCACGCCAGCCACTGGCACATGGGCGCCCGTGCTTGGGTACCAAGCCCATCCAACCCGTGTCCCAACACGAGCCTGCCGCCCCCTCATTTTCCAGGCTTCCAGACTCCCCGCTGATCGAGGCTCTGACAGCAGAAACGCTACACCGTGACGCATCCTGACCGATGAAGGGGCCCCTCGAAACCCAGAGAGTCTTTTAAAGCCAAATGCAAGCCCAGCTTACTGCTTTCCGGGCCATTCCCGGGGTAGAGGGAACCCCCCCCACCAGCCTTGGGACCCTGGCTCAGTGTCTTCTCGGCCTCTAAGGAGCCATGTCTCCACCCACCTGCGGCCCCCCCATCCCCTCCCCGCATTCGGTTTCTGCCTCCACGACGCCAGGGCAAAGCCAGCTACCCGTCCCCACGCACCCCAAGCACCGCAGCCCCTGCTACTCACCCTCCTGGCTCCTGGGTGGGGCCTCGGCCGCCGGGGGCTGGGGCTTGGGCTCCAGCCTGCTCTGCAGCTGAGACACCGGGGTGTGTTCTGAATTCTCCAGGGTCTGGGGGGGGATGGGGGAGGTGGGCGCCTCGGCCGGCTTGGGCACCTGGATCTCGACCCTCTTGGGGGCTGCGTCCGAGGCGGGGGCGGCGGGCACCTCGGGGACCTTGGAGGCAGGGGTCTCCATCCTCCGGTGGGCTGACTCCTGGGGCTTCACTATGGTGATCTCCGTCCTCCGCGGGGCGGGCTCCGGCGTCTTGTGGCCCAGCGCCTCGGCTCGCTTGAGCCCGAAGCGGGACGGCCCCGTGGCGCTGGCGTTCTCCACCTGCTTGGACGAGATGTCGATGGAGATCTCCGTGCGCCGGGACACGGGCTCGGCCTTGGGCCCCGAGAGCTCGACCCTCCGCAGGGCGGCTTTGGGGGATCGCTGGCTGAGGGAGTCTACATGGCGGGCTGCGGGCTCGGCGTTCTTGGCGCCCAGATCCTGGAATTTCTGCGTGGAGCTGGCCACGGTGGCCCGGAGCAGGGGGGTTGGGAGCCTCCGGGACGGGGTGGAGTTGGGCGTCTCGGCCTCCTCAACCTCAAAAGATCTTTTCAAGGCTGGAAGAGAGAGGGGGGGATGTGAGGAGTGGACGGCTCAGGGCCACCCCCGGAGACCCCTGCACTTCCCTCCCCGGAAGAAAGGGGACAACCCCACTCTCCCGGGGAACAGCATCAATCGCGCACACAGGGAGGGGGAAAAGGTGGAGCTCAGAGGACGCCAGCCCCCCTTCCACCATGGCCACAGCGTGGACGCGCCAGCTCCGTGTTCTATAAAGATGTTCCGGCTCAAAGGGAGATGTGATTGCTTTCCTGCCACGGCCTTTCTTTATCCCCACCCCACCCCCGCCCAGCGCTCACCACCACCGTCAGCAACTGGGGATGGGGGCACGTCCCCAATAACACCGGCCACAACCATGCCGTCAGAAGCCCCATGGCGGTAACGTCATCACCTCGGCACGGAGGGCACAGCCAGCACGGGCACGTCTAACGTGGGCGCTGGGCTGGCCGTGTGCATTTACTCCTCACAGGACTCTATGCTGTGAACACTGCCATTATCCCCTGGTCCAGGTGGGGAAACTGAGGCCATGGTGCTTAAGCAACGTGCCCAGTGGCGGGGAGACTGAGTGCCAGAGCCAGGAGATGCACAAGGCTCCGGCCCTCGGCTGTCCTGTGCCAGGCGGCACAGCAGAGCCCCGGCGTGGTCCCCACCCACCCGCCCTCTCAGTCCTCGCCCTCAGATGCACACGCATCCCATGCTACTCGTCCCAGCCAGGGCCCCCGTGGGACGCCAGCCATCTGACCCCCCCATCCCCCCCCAGCCCAGTGTTTCCACCTGGCCGCCTGCCATCTCCGCCAGGACCCGGTGCACCCACTGAGGCAGGGGACGGTGCCCGGGGAGCTGCCACCAGCCGTCCCCACAGCCCCTGCCGGCGGCCATGCTCCCGCCAGGAACCAGATGCTCCCGCTACAAAGACCAGAGCAGGAAGGGCCCACGTGGCAGGAGCATTCACCGTCTCCCTCCTGGTCGGGCTGAACAGGTGCTCAGCGACCCACGGGGTCTCTCTGACCCCTCTCCCCACCTCGCCTCCCCAGCCCCCTCCCCCCCAAGCCGAGGGTTTCCCAGCACCCCGCCACTTCCTCCTCGGCCCCCCGCTGGCCCAACTTCAGCGACCTGGGGCCGTTCTCAGGGCCCCCCATCACGGCTTCCTTCCTCCAAATTCCTGGACAGCTCCTGTCTCTTCCCAGTGGACAGTGCTTCCCTCTCACGGCCAGGGCCCGCTGGGCAGTGGAGTGGGCGCTGGCCGGGGGTGCAGGTGCTTGCAAGCGTGGGGCGAGACGAAGGAAAGGAGGCCCTCGTCCCCAACGCCCGGCTGCCCGAACCACCGGTTCCCCAAATGTGGGACCCTACTGGGACCTCCCTAAGCCTCGGGCACACCTCCTTCTGGTAGACAGGGTCACAAAACCCTCAGATGCAAAGAAAGCTCAGCCATCCCAGAAGGGCTGCAGGGACAGAAATGTCCTTGGTCAGAGGGAACTGGCGCATCGCCAAGCATCCCATCTCTGAGATACACCGGCTGCCCGGCTGGCCTGTGCGCCCAACATGGTCAGAGCTTCGGACTGGAAATCTAGATTTTTCTATGGGCTATCTCTTGATCTGTATATGCTCACACGAAGGGAAACAGCTCCCTTTTAAAACGCTGCACGGTCAGGGCGCCTGGGTGGCTTAGTCGGTTAAGCGTCCGACTTTTGCTTAGGTCATGTTCTTGCGGTTCTTGGGTTCTTGCCCCTCGTCTGGCTCTGTGCTGTCTGTCAGCTCTGAGCCTGGAGCCTGTTTCAGTCTGTATCTCCCTCTCTCTCTGACCCTCCCCTGCTCACGCTGTCTCTCTCTCTCTCCTAGAAATAAATAAAAAACATTAAAAAAAAAAAAGTAAAACGCTGCACGGTCAAAGAGGGTCCCATCCGCAGGCTGCCTCTGGCCTGTGGTCCAGCCTGTGACCTCTGATTGATAATGTGGCTAAGCACAGGGGGAGGAGCCGAAGCAGGGATGCTGGCCCCTCAGCACCCCTCCCGGGGGGGGCCATCCCCTGAGATAACCACAGCGCACAAACTGCTCGTTCCAAAGAAGGTTGAGGTGAGAAACAAGGGGTTGTCAAACTGGCCAGAAAGCCCAGAGGTGAGCGCCAGGAACTATGACCCCATGTAGGGTCTCCTGAGGCATGTGGTGTACCCCGGTCTCCAGGGAACTGTCCACACGGCCCCTGAACAGTGGCTCCTGCCCATGAGCTCCCTAGCGGAGGGGTCCATGCCCAGCCCCCCCAGCCCAGGAGGCAATTCCCCGGGGACCAAGCTGGAGAATAGAAGTCAGGTGGGCAGCCTCCTCCCAGGTTTGCCCCAAACCCCCCCCCAAATCCCCTCCCAGGGAAGCCCAGATGGAGGTGCCCTCGACCACCGACTCACGAGCTAAGACCACGCACCAGAGGAAAGCCCTTTCTGACTCAGGCACGGAGAGTCCCCGGGCAGCGCTGAATTCGAACCCGGCCGGTACGCAGATCACCCGCACCCTGCAACCCTCCTCCCTCTGCCGGTCCACGTGACTCAGTCCTCACAGCCACGGCCATCCGACACAGACGCATGCGCCGTCCGCACCGCCACCCTGTCCTCTCACTGCTCTGTGCTCCTGCGTGGCACACGTCCTCCCAGCCCTACATCAGCTGTGTGCCTGTCGCCCGGCCACGTGACCCACCCAGGTGTGTCCCATCCCCGGCTAGTCTGAGGCCCAGGAAAAAGGGGGCTGTTCCCACCCTCAGGGCGGTGACTATCGGAAAACGTCCGGTTGTGAGGGTTGTTTGTGATGATTTGTGCCATCCCCCCCCCCCCCCCCCC